TTTTAGTAAAATTTTCACAAATACTTTTTAAAATGTATTAGTTAGCAAAAAAAATTTAATTCATTAAAGTTTATTCGAATATTAGTTTAGGTTGCTTAGTTTAGGTTCATAGCCTTGCCAGATAGGTTTACGACCTATGAAACAATGCTTTCCGCATTGTTAAAGGAAATTTCTCTCCAATTGCTGACTCTGTAAGCTCTGCAGATGTACCCTGCCGAGTAACGCGAATTTTTGCCTGCAAATTATATACTCCACTATTTTCTCGTAATAATCACATTTCCTAAATTTTTTCTCCTCCATTATTAAACCTAATTTAAATGCATGCGCTCTTAGCAAATAATGCACTGTTAGCAATCCTATCAGAAGCCTCCAATATTTTCTTCTTGTGGTAGCAGGATATCGGTAAGTTTCTTATCTTATGAACTACACATAATCCATGCAAGTCTGCTCAGTCACTAGTGAGACGTCTAAGAGAACGCCCTCTTTGGCTAGTTCGAAAGCTCTCTCTACAACTTTGACATTGCCGTATCCTGAAACGGTTTCAATCGCAGCTGGCTTACTTATAGCCTCCTTTCAGTCCGCGACGGTAATCGAAATTGTTTTATATGAAAGCAGAGCCTTAATTGCCGACTGACTATTTATCTATGTAAATGTTCGCTTGGCGGGTTATTTCAGGAAGTATCTCTGCCGCTTTCTTTATTGCAAATATCTCGACTTGATAGATGCTGCAATGATTTGGTTGCTTAAAGAACCTATAAATTTCCGGTACAGCTCAGTATTCTGCAACCGCTACTTCTTTGTCCATTTTGGATCAGTCTAAGACCAAGCCCTTACGCCAGCTGTCAACCTCTTTTGTAGCTTATATAGAGACTGATAATTGAGAGTTAGCCTTGAGTTAGGACCGATTGATTCCATTTAACAGATTTCTGTATTTTCTAGCGAAATGATGACCAATAGTCTAGCCTAGCCGTCTACGGCTCTATGGCTTTCCCGTACTGACTAGGTTCTAAGTTTACCCACTCGATAAGTGTTGGACCAGAATGCTTCCGGCTCACAAGAACAGACGATGCAACTTTGACGATGCAACTTTGTCGCTCTCTTTGATACCGCAGTAATTTATTCAGTATACAGCACAATTTAAAAGAGTTTCACCCTGCCAGGAATTGAAAAGTTTTAAAAGACTCCTTGAAGACCTTGGAGGATGATCATCCTGTTTGATAGGTGGCCTGAAAATGTGATTGTAAACACCTCTTTGATTTCTGTCTGGGATTTTGCCTTAGATTTTGTTCAAAAAAATAAAAATATTTTTGTATGGCGTACACTGAGGGAAAATTAAATACTTTATATTTGATTATCCTTTAAAAGTGTTCGTAATTAAAAATAATATTTTATATGTGTGGCTGTAGCTGAGTATGCAAAGATGCTTGCTACAATCTATTGATTTCCAGAGGGTCAGGGTTCGAATTCCATTGCAGGCCACATGCAAATTAAATATATATATTTTTTAGGATTTTATCTTGATTATTCACTTCACGAATGCTTTTTTACGAAAGAACGATTCATTTTATTATGCGCGTAGTTGAATTGAATATTTACCATTATATAGTACTTTTGCTGACGTTTATAGTAAGATCAACTATGTTTCTGATTGATTTTAATGTTTTCCCCTCAGTGTAGGTATACCAGTATGTTTCCATTTTTAATGGAATCCATCCCAGAGGCGACCATAGGGCTGAGTTTGAACACGTTCTCACTGATCTTGTTACTGACAGACGTCATACATTGACATACATTTAGACTTCAAACCCCATGCCAGATTGAAAAGTATTCTACAAGATTCCATAATATTTTCCAAGAACAATTTTCTCCAAACTGCATGCCAGTTTGACACCGCACGCACTGCTGCACTCATAAATTCAATACTCCCAAAGTTTCTATAACGATTATTATTAGCTCGTGTGCGTACCAATAGCATCATATCCATACTCTTGTAGTTTGGTTCAGAGTTAGTCGGACACAAGAAACCAAAATGAGGAAGAAAGAACACCTCTCTGGAATATTGCGCTATTGAAGTATGGTATCAATCTATTCGACAGTAGAGAGATCTATTCTTCTTTGGACCATAAGACCACAAAACTATAGGCCATCGGACGGTCGCCACGCCAACATACTTACTATATAACGGTATTTTCGAAAAATGCAACAACTACGATATTGACGTAAATACGGGATCCATATTTTTGAAAGTTGGAAAGTGAAATAGAATTTTGTCATAAAATAAGAAAATTATGAAATTTTTGGAGAATGGGCCACTACCACGCCTCTTGTAAAGAAATGCTGTTTCGCAGCTGCCACTTAACCAACCCATACCAAACTCAGTACGAGCATTGCTTAGGGTCTCACTACGAAACCCTGATGATAATTTTTGTAATCGGACAATAACCTCCCATCTAACGGTAATTTACAGAAATACGAAGACTTTTTGCAATATTATTTTAGCAGAAAATCAGATTATTGCAAAGTTTTTGAAAATGGGCGTGGTACCAGCCACGTCAGATTACATATGTGTAACCGATTAATCAATATCTGCCAATTTCGGTGAAGCTATTGCCCTAGGTACAGAAAAGCAATATGTTGAATTTTTTTGAAATCGGAAAAAATTGGCGTAATATATATATAAAACGGTAACTTTCACTTATGACTACACAAGTTCATCGCGTTAAGCGCTTTATCATCGATTTTGGATTTATACCAAGCCCAGTTCAATTAAATAATTATTTAAATAAAGGTCGTTTTCTGAAGTAACGTTTAATTTTAAAGCTCATTATGTCTAAAGTTAAGCATTTCCATTAGCGGTTTTTGACGTATGTATGTACGTCTTTTGGTTGTAAACCAATTTAAAACCGACAATAAAATGCTTTACTTTAGACACAATCATAAACTTTAATGCAACATTTAAATATAAAGTGAGCTTTAAAGTTACAGGTTACTTGAGAAAAAATTTTCGATTTTATAGCTTTAAACAAATTGTTTTGTTTTATTATTTCTTTTAATTTTTAGAAACTTAGTTTACGTACTTATTTCTTTTTTTTTAATTATATATTTTATTATTTAAATTTTTAGATTGTTAGATTGTTTTCAAAAGAAAACTAGTTTTTAATTTTATTTAAATTTAAGAAACTGGCCTAATTTTTTTCTTTAAAATTAAATTTTTTTAATTTTACATTTTATTCTTCCTACGAGTATTTTTTTTAATTTCACTTAATTTTTGAGAACTATTATTTATTTATTATTTAAATTTTATTTTCTTAAATTTTATATATTTTTTGTTTTGAAAAGCAACGATTTTCTTTTTACATTTTTTGGAAAAATGGAAAAGGCAATAAGGTCGAAGCGGTAGAAGTTATAACTGCTATTTTGGAGATCACCACATCTCCCCATCAGAGTTCTTTTTCTAGACTTCTTTTTAATTTAATTTTTATAAGCTTATTTCAAGATTTTTTTTAAATTAAATTTTTATTTATTTTTAGTACTGAAAAAATAGATTTATATATCATTTAAAATAAATTCAATTTACACGCGCGAATAATTCATAGAAAAAAGTTGTTTATCACTCGCTGCATACAAGGCAGACGCATAATAAGCTCTTGCGGCTGTGTAACAAATAGAAAGCAATAAAGAATCAAATACTCCTAATATAAATAAAATATCATTCTTCCTTGCAGTGCATTACTCTAACATGTAAAAAATGTGAAGTGTATGTGTACACATAGAAACTAAAAAAGTCTATGCATTCATAACGGGTGATTTTTTAAGAGCTTGATAACTTTTTTTTTAAAAAAAAACGCATAAAATTTGCAAAATCTCATCGGTTCTTTATTTGAAACGTTAGATTGGTCCATGACATTTACTTTTTGAAGATAATTTCATTTAAATGTTGACCGCGGCTGCGTCTTAGGTGGTCCATTCGGAAAGTCCAATTTTGGGCAACTTTTTCGAGCATTTCGGCCGGAATAGCCCGAATTTCTTCGGAAATGTTGTCTTCCAAAGCTGGAATAGTTGCTGGCTTATTTCTGTAGACTTTAGACTTGACGTAGCCCCACAAAAAATAGTCTAAAGGCGTCAAATCGCATGAT